TACAAGTGTCGGGTCAGTCAACTGCTGTTGAGCTTTTTGGTGACCTGAGGCATCCGGGTCCATGACTGATCGATGAGCTCCTGCAACGCCTGGCGTGACGTGCGACGTGCAGGTCGAATTGCTGCATGGGATCTGTGCTGTGAATTGGCCTCTCCCCGCCGCTCCAGTCGCACCAGCTCCTGAAACAGAACATGTACTCGCAGATGCCATGCCATGCGCAGCAGTAATACAGAGTGCCGAAGCAGTATTCTCGCACGGATTCGGCTCTGAGCTGGGCTTGAGCTTTGCAAACCTGGGCATCTTGCCGAGCAATCAGGCAAGGCTGCCGTCCTTCTGCAACTCTGCATCAATGTTGAAGTCGCCCTTTGCGTGGATTCGTGGGCAGCGAGCGCATGAATCGGGCTTTACTGTCCAGCCCTAGCATGAGCCGCTAGACATGGCAAACGTGGCAGACATGATATTATCCACGCTTTCTGCCACTCACACACACACAGACTCGTCCTTTCTGTGCGTTCGTTCTTTGCTTGTTTTCCTCGTTCTTCCTTTTTGCTGCTGCTTTCTCTCCTTACACCCACAGACACAGACTAGCACGCACATGCCTTCCCCACAGCCAACAGAGGGAAGGTAACCCTTTCAGCCCCGATCTAAGCAGCAACAAGGCAAGCAATCCTCGTACCCAACAAGTACAAACAAAACTGTCCACGCAGACCCAGCTGTGCAATGGGAGCAACTCTTCTGCATTTGACAGCATGCATGTCTGCGTTGTCTCCGTGGCTTTATCGTCCGACACACCGATGAAGCCCAGCCCAGCCGTGTGACAAAGAGCCTCCTCGATCTGCTGCAGCAGAACGGCGGCCTGAGCAAGGGGAGCCCGGGACCGTATAGCATCGCTGCACGCTCTCCATGGGCAGTGCACCTGCTCGGCAGCCAAGGGCTGCTCCTTGGCAAGGTCCTCGTGGAGCCCCAGCATCCTGAGCTGAACTCCCGGCTTTGGGTTCGGCCGGCAGTTCGGCCAACAAATCCCAAATCCCAAGGTCAAGACATTTGTCTCAGGTTCGACATCTCAACCTGCGAGAGGAGAAAGGCTAGCACGGAGAATTTTTGGCCGGACCAGGCTCACGTGAGCACTCAAGCGAAGAAGGAAAAGTAGTATGCGGCACAACAACCGGCACCAAAGCAGCGCACGGGAGTGCAAAATCACAAACCGTTAAGCAGACTTGCATAGCATCTGACAAAAAGATAAGACAGCAAATCACAGCACTGCATTGCGCTTCATAACATTGCTTCAGGATCTGTATGAGCTTGTCAGGGCTGCTATCCGTCACCTGGACCGAACGCCGGTCTGCTAGATTCCTTGAGGTTTCGAAGTTCGCCTGCAGCTGGGAAGGTCGCTCTCCTCGAAACTGCTGAATGCCGAACTCCAAAGTGGCACACCTGCGGCGAAACATGGGGAAACCCAAGCGAGAGTGGGCTGGGGGCACCTCTCAGCCAAGGCTTCCAGGGTGCCGAGCAATGATGCGAAGCGGTCGGAAAGCCTATGTCGCAAAGGCGAAGTGCGGAACTCAGCTGCGCTGCACTTAGCTGGAGAGTCTTCTGATTGGTGCTGCCTCGACTGGATCGTCTCTACCATTTGGGCCAATCTCTTCTCCATCGCCTTCAACAAGCGTGGACTCAGAATTCGCAGAGGGGCCGGGCCCCGTTTGGAGCACCTGTCTCAACTCGGCCAACTCTTTATCGCGATTGTGGGTTTCGTCCGTGAGCCTGGGCCCAGCGAGGGAGGATGCTCTTTATAGCCTGTTCCTTGTGATCTGTAGCTTGATTTTGTTATTGTTTTTTCCGGTTGTTGCTACTATACTTGTACTAGAAATTCTCATTATTAAGAAATAGTAGCAGTAGCAGTAGCAGTAGCAGTAGCAGTAGCAGTAGCAGTAGTAGTAGTAGTAGTAGTAGTAGTAGTAGTAGTAGTGGTGGTAGTAGTAGTAGTAGGAGCAGCAGTAGTAGTAGTAGTAGTAGTAGTCGTCGTCGTCGTAGTAGCAGGGGTAGTACCGCTACTGCCCGAGACCCTCGAGGCCCGCCGAGGCCCGGGCTCGTGCTCCAGCTTTCCCAAGGCCACCAGGAGCTGAGGCAGTGGTTGAGAGGCTTCTCGGCGGCTTCAAACGTAGCACATGAAGACCAAAACCCAAGATTTTTAGGCTAGTTCTCCAAAAGATTGAGCCGGGACTTGGACGGCTTCTCCGCCATCACTCTCGAAAGCTCCAGAAGACTGAGCCCAAGAAGACGGAACCTCCTGGCAGCGGTGTGAAGCCAGCTCACGCCGCCTCTGGACTTTCGGCTCTTGTTGCAACTAGATTCATCACGTCAGGAGCAATACATTCCATCAAAGGGCAGCGCTGTTTGGTGCCCGACTTCTGTTCTTCGCAGGCTGGTTTCCACTTGAGAAATGCCTCTGAGCCCTTCTCCAGACTTGGGTAACCGCAATCCATCTCTGAGAGCCCTGCTTCCTGGCATCTTGATCCACTTGTTGCCCCAAGCTTGCGAAGCTGCAGCACAGGGCAGAGTCAGACAGGAAGGAACATAGGTGCCCTACGATAAGCCTTTGGAAAGACTCCTACAATCCACCATGAAACGACCATGCAGGGGGGAAGCGGCGTTTAGCAGGCAGCGACCAGGCTCAAAACACCAATACGCACGACGCGGACCTGCAGACCAGAGAGAGAAAGGAAACAGTGAACCACCTTAGCAGCCTTAGCCCGTGCAGGGAGCCTTGATCCCAGGGCCCGCCTCAGTCAGAACAAAAGCTTCGAGCTATTGAACTCGAAGTATGGGAGTCTAGGTTCACAAGCGGTCCCAATATGGTACAGAGGCATTTCTTCTGCTGGGCTCCCGAACAGCTTCTGCCGCAAGGGATCCCGATCCCCTCCCTCCGATTGGGATTGGGAGGGGATTTGGGCCTTCCACGCAGTCTCTGCAGAGGGCGTGAAGACCCAACCGACCGGTTGCTCCTGCCTCAATCCTAGTCTCGTCCACTGGCTTCATTTCGGACTTCTTGTCAGTCCTGGCAGTGCCAGCGACCAAACCAGAAGAGAACCGCTAGCTGCTAGCGGAACCCACCTCGGTGTTCGGAGGTGGCCCGTCATCGACAGGCCGCTAAACCGGAGGCCTCAACAGGAAGCCGCTTTGGGGCAGCTGTGCAGAAGCGCTCTCAGAATCTCTTTCCTGGAAGCTTCTTTTCCAAGCTGAGGTCAGCCCTCCAAAACAATCAATCCCAACTCCCCGAGTGTCGAATGTGCTTCCTTTTTGTACTTGTACTGGATTTCTAGATGTACTCTGGGGACACAACATCGCCGGATTAACAGGAAAGCTTGAGCCGGGGGCGTCTCATGGATGGCGACGAAGTTCCGGAAGTTCCTCAACATTCTCGAACTTCGGCACCATGCTCTGGGATACATATGTTCGACTGTTGTGCTGCAAGCACCTTGAAGAAAGATACTGCCGTTTCCAATTGAACGTTGCTACCGCTGCGCAGAAACAACGCGCAACTCCCACACATCGTCCGCCGTTCAGAATTCCATTGAAACTGTTGCCCCGAAAAGCCGCGAAACGAGCAGACGCGCCTTCCCAAACTTCGGATTCAACGGCCTGAAGGTCGGGAAGGAAGGCGGTGTGGGACTTTCTAAGCGGGAGCCGCCTGAGAAGCCGAGGGCCAGCGAGCGGAAGCCGAGCTCACCAGGTCTGCAGTCAGAAAGCAGGATTCCGATTCCGCCGAATTCTGGGGGGCTCAGTGCTTCTGAGGGCTGCAGGGACTGGATGTTACAAAAGGGCTTCAGGCAGCTCAACGACGTTCATAGACGAGCACATAAAGCGCAGGTATCGTACGCATAACTCTCTACGAGCCAGCCGTCCGAAACTGTGGCCAAAACAATCACTGCAAGTCTTGCTGAAGCCGAGGCTTCCGATCCAGAACTCTGGTCTGAAAACACAGCCTTCCGTCCCCTTGAGGGCCGGCTGGAGCCCATACCTCGGCGGTCCGCATCTGTGAGCCCCACGCTGCTGTGCTGCGATCTGAGGCCCTGGCCGACCGTCAGCCTGGAAAGACAGAGCCGACTTCAAGGTGCGACGCTCCAGTCGCTACAGCAAAATAGCCGGGCGCCTGCTTGACCAAGGCACACGGCTGCACCTAAAAGGCACAATGCTCATCCAGCGGGCTGGCCCCGAATCGGCAACCCCCCTGCGCTGGGGTGACGACCATGCCAGGCAACGCAGGCAACGCAGGCAGGCCGCCGGGGGCCTGCGGTCTCGTCGTGTCACCGGGGGCGAAGTTCATGAGTTCATGCGCAGGCTGCCCACACTGAGATCATGAAAGATGTCAGGGGTCTGCAGTACTGGCAATCACAAACCCATTGACAACTGCCTCTTTGGCCGAAGCGCATCGGCACAGAAATGCAGACAAGAGGTATCAAGCTGTTTGCTGCAGGATCTGCTTCTACCTACGCCGAACAAATTTGTAACTGCTTGCTCAACTTACGAATGACTGCCAAGCACAGAAATGCTGCGGCGACACAGTATCAATCACTATCACTTGAAGCAGCTCTGAGTCTGAGTCCAAAGAAAGCGGCCGGAAAACGTTTCAAACCTTCAGCTGCCTTTGCTTTTACTCGCGCCACATTCGTGGAATTCGCGAGGCTCGAACGCAGTCGGAGTCACCTTCGAGTGAACACCCCGACTGCCCGTACTCCCTGAGCCCCCTTACCCTGCACTTCGAGAACTGCTAAAGCATCCTCTGCAAGACAGGCAGCGCTGGTGCACAAATCACCCCACCGACGCCCGCGCTAGCTGAAACCCACGAATACACCAAATGACCGCCAGGGCCAGAAGCTCCACACCCCATGAAGAGATACTGGCATCCACTGTGTTGAAAATGCGTTTCTCGAAGTGCCCCCAAGCTACCGCGACTCCGAAGATCGGGTCTCACGAAAGGCTCCCGCCAGAGTCAAGATCTCTTACCGGAGGCCCAGTGTCATCCGCGAGGGAGCCTCCGCACCTCAGGACATCTCGAGACTCGCTGAGACAAGACACAGTCCGTCCGGGAATACCGAGCTTCGGGCCAAGTTTTCGCAGGAAGCCGCTTTCCTCCATCTGCGCCTCAGGGCCAGTTTCATCAAACGGCTCTTTGGACGGCTGGAGGCTGGAGGCTTCGCTTCCGCCCCGGCGCCTGACAGCGGAGCTTGGGAGCGGTAGCAGTGCGCTGGAGGTGTCGCTCAGCAGCTCCACGTAGTGTCTCACGGGGGCACAGACGTTGAAGTGGGGGGCCGGGCGGGCCGAGTAGACTGCGTCTCTTCGAGCTTGCAGCCTCCGCATGTCGGATTTCGCTTGCCCGCGCAAGCGCCACCTGCTCGAGCGGAGAATTGAACTTCAGGATCTGTCAAGCAGGTTCGGCAGCGAACGACCGATGCTTCAGAGCATTCGCCATGCTGCCAAATGGAAGCTCAACCGAAATTGGTCTCTTGGTCTTGTCCATGGCTCCCCATGTTCAACAGTTCCAGTTTGCACCTGCCTTTAGCGCCCGGCTCGCAAATCAAATGCGAATCGGCTTCGTCTCTCTTGATGCTTGGTGCGACCCGCGACTCCTTGCGCTAGAGGGCCACATCCTTCCTGTGAATTGATTCACCGACCCGAACCGCATGCCCCTTTCCCAAGCCCGTTCCGTCCGTTTGTATGCCTCTGCGGCCGCGTCCGGCCGGGTATAGGCGAACGATGCGAAGCTTTCAGTTAGGTGGCAGAGCCTCCCAAAAAAAGTTGAGGAGTCTCAGCTTCATTCGTCGACGACACTTTCGAGTTGTGGTACGAACATCCGCACAACAGACATCAGAGCACAGGCAGCCAAGCAGCAAGCTAGCTGAGGGCAGGCATCAGCATTACAAAGCTGCTGCTCTGTATTGGAGGACAGCCGTGAGGCACTCAACATCCACATCTGCGTTTTGGGTGAGGCTTTAGCTAGCATGCAAAGCATCACTAAGACGATGACAACGTGTTCTGGCTGCCAGGTTCTTACGTCTGGTGGACAACCTCAACTGCTCACGGTGCGCGTCTCCAGACAACTGTTGCTCAAGGCTGCATGCAGCCGCAGCGTCCGAGCGTCGAACGTGGACCACGTCCCGAGCCTGTGATCATGACAAGCGACAAGGGCCGCTGCACGAGCTTCTGGTGAGAATACAGATTGCAAAGCTGGCGCAGCAACATGTGGTCTTGCAGTGATGCTCGATACGTTACTAGGTCTTGAACGGACTACTTGCGTTTTCCAGCAAATCTGAGAGAAACTGGCCACGTGCCACAAACTGCTGAACTGGTCTTGACATGCGGCATTTGAGAATTTTTTGTCGAAGGCGTCAACAGCGAGCCTCAAAGCGCACGTACCACTCCGGTGTTGAAAGCTGGTACCGCGTACCGCGTGTTTCACACGTTCAAGGCTGTGACAGACGCAGCAATCTTGCAAAAAGCTGTTACGGTCTGTGATGCTGTCATCAGCATGCCGAAGTTCTGCTTGTTGCAGTGCAGTTCGCTTGACTCTTCGGTTCTTCCTTTCGCTTCTGGTTTGCTCACATCCGCTGTCGCCGGGATCTTGCCTGTACATCCATCAAGCAGCCTTCTTGGCAAGCTTCTGCAGATAAGTGCAAGAAGCTAGATCACCAAAAGCATCATCGAATCATCGACTCAAACCTGCACACCAGCAAGCGCTGAACGATCCATGGATGAGGCTGGGGATCCCTGCGTGCAAGGATGGAGCCGCGGACGAACCCGGCATCCAGCGGGACAAGAGCGAGGTCCTGGTGATCGGAGGCTCCAAACTTGGTTTTGCAGGAGGCCCTAAAGTAGATCTGGAGGTTCTCGACGACACGTCGAAGTTAACGTCTTCTACGATAAAGATGGCTCGCTGCTTCGCATCACACAACGGAGGACGCTGCTTGGGCACTTCTGGACAACTGCAATCTTTTTCCGCTGCTTGGCTTGAAAAGCACACTGGTGCGGGCAATAGCCGCAGAGTCCGCAATGGTGCAAAAGGGACACACGACGCTGCACGCCCCAACAAAGAGAACACCCGACGTGTTGAGGGCTGGATCCCTCTGGCAGAGGAGACCAGGAAGCTCGGGGTCAGGTGCGGACGGAGGCACAGACTGAAACAACTCATTCACAGACGACGTTGTTGGCAGCTCTGGGGCCTTCCATGTCGATTGAATGTGGCACTGGATGTGCTGCTCGGCAGAGATTCACACCATCCCAGTGCTACAACTTCTTGCGAGCACCCATTGCGAGTGTATTCATGCAAGCTTGGCAGTCTCAACTTATTGCCCCAAGAAGCTGTATAACAGTTTGGAGGAAGAGGGAGAGGAATCGACATCCTACACGAACCACGCCCCCGATGAGCTGCCGCAAGTGTCCTTGTAGCAGGGCATGGTCGCTGGGGCAAACACAAAGGGGATGGGAAGGGCCGCAAAGACTAGCCACTAAGCATAAGCATCACTGACATGCTGCAAGCTCCTGTCAAGAGTCAGACTCAGAAACTTCTGCTGACAAATTTGAACTATTCCACCTCGGAGCCGGCCCCGTCGGATGTTGACGAGACAAAAGCAGCAACACAGCATTCAACGGGACAAATCCCCGGAAGCCTCATGCGCGCATGGCCCACCCCACACGCCCGCACACTCTGATGCACTCTGCCCTTCTTTTCTCCTGTCCAGCGCATCTTGGGCTTTGTCGGAGGGACCTCGCCCTCCGACAGCTCGGTGCACACAGGCACCCTGAAGTTGACGACCCGCCCTCGGATGCGACACAGCCTGAGCCTCCGAGCCCCTTCCGAAATTGCACCAAAGTGACTAGTAGAAGGTCCCCGGGTTCGGAGGCTCCGACTTCTTTCAGCAAGAAGCTCTCGCCTTCAGAATTCAAGCTGTGCTTAAATGCACTTTTGCAACACACCTGCAAGTACACAGTCGTGCTCAGAAAGTTTGCACGATCAGCAGGCTGCAAGACAAAAAAACTTCACACCGCAGCTGGAAGCATCAGCACAGGTACTGTTGAGCGGCGTCGTGACCCGGACGTTCTGTGTATGGGCATTCCGGAAAGGGATCACGACATGCTCACAGACAGGCACTGACACATGCTAAGTAGCATTCCGGATTCTGCAAGTCTGGGACCAACTTAGGTCCACCGGCCACATGGCAGGCTTCAGAGCGGCAGGAGAAAGATGTGAAACACACCGTTCCGACACCAGAGTCGGACCGCAGACGGCCCCACCCACAGAGTCGGTTTTGAATAAACTGTGCTGTGTCCAAAAACAATGCAACCTATCTGCTCTGTACAGGCGACGGCAAATATCGCAGAGCACCACACCGCAGCATCACGGAAGCTGTATGCCTCGCAGATGTCAGACGATGAGCCAACAGCCCGGGATTCAGAACTCGGCTTCAAGGCACTGCATGCAAAGGCTGCAATACAACATATTCAAGATGAAGTTCCTGCTCAGGGCACGTCACTCGGATCTACACCCACGAGCTTGCGCGCCCTCTGCAAATCTATGCATCCACAAAAGTCTGGCGTCAGATGCGGGACCCTGCTTTACAATCACATCCAAGTCCATGCAAAGCAACGAAGCTCAAGCTGAGCTCGAATCCATCGGACCAGCTTGCCGAGGGCACCTGCGCACGGGAACGACACCAGAAGAGATGGCCACATGCCCAACCATGCTTCTTTACATCGAGCCTGATATCCGACTTGAGGCGCAACGTACCTCACCATACCATGGCCATGAGTTCATCTGCAAAGGCAGGGAAAGGATGTACTGAATGTTCTCCGAGATTTGGATCTCAGGTATATTGCGATCTGGCTTGACGTTGTCGATCTAGCATGGTTCAAGCTCTAAAGTAGGAAGCGCGCGGTGTGCGTGGTGTGCGTTGTGTGCGCTCGTGGCGTGCATTCGTGATGTACGTTCGTGGTGTGCGTCGTGGTGTGCGTCGTGGTGGTGCTGGTCGCGGTGGTGGTGGTGGTGGTGCTGCTGCTGCTGCTGCTGGTGCTGGTGCTGGTGGGATGACGGGCGAGTCGGACGCACGAGTCGAGAACAGGCGGGGGGCCAGAAACGAGAACGAGCAGGAGTCAGGAATTGCACAAGGTCGAGTCGGCCACAACGCGAGGGCGCAGTCAGGAACAACCTAAATCCTAAACCCCCTAAACCCTAAACCGCCTAAACCCCCGAAACCCTAAGCATCCCTAAACCCTAAACCCGACTCGCGCGGGGGGCCATTCCCGAATAAGCTCCTGGACATGCTTGACTGGGCGTTTGCCTGTTCCGGACTCTCCCGTTCCGGACTCACTGGGGGTGAGCCTGACTCGACTAACTTTCCTGGTGCTGGTGCTGGTGCTGGTGCTGGTAAGGCACGGGGTTTGGGATTGCTACCGTAATTACGGGTTTCCTTGAACAAGTCGATCCGTCATGGTCCGTCTGTCGCCGGGACTACAGCGGATATTTCATGCATAACTCACTACAAGTTGCTCCAATCTCCATGATGCTCGAGGAATGCGACTGATTGTGCTGCGTGTGCGTGTGCTTCATACAACAAAGCGATGACACACGCAATGGTCTCCCTTCCTGGTCGGAGGTCGGAGCTGAAAGCTTGCAGCTAGTCCAGACCAGTTTGCCCAAGCAGGTGAAAGAGCGCATGGGCCCAGCTGTCATCTGCCACTGGCCACTGCCCTCCGCAGGTTGGCTCGATGGCCAACTCCCATCTGTCTGACACCCGGCCAACGATGTCTGGAGAGTGAACCCAGAGGGCATGTCAGCTCCGCTGGTAAGTCAACTCAACAAGATCAAAGATTTTTGCTGACCCGAAACGATCACGAATCACAATACCACCGTCCTTCGACAACAGGATACGTCTGCCTTCCATACGCTGCTCCCTGCAACACGATACTGTACTCGCCGAGCAAAACTGCGCTGAATGTGCCGTGTGCGGTTGGTGCTTGCGTGCGAGCGTGCCAGCCTGCCTGCCTGCCATGCCCGCGTGCCTGCGTGCCTGCCGCCCACTATACATGCCTGCATGCGTGGGTGGATGCGCGCATGAGTGCGTATGTGCGCACCTGCGCGCATGCACGGTCGAGTCTGCGCGCAGGCTCGTGCACGATCGTGAGCTTCTGCGTGCACGTGCGCATTGCGCGATTGCATGCACACCCACATGTGCGTGCGGGTCTGTGTGCGTGTGCGCGTGCATGCACTTGCATGCACATGCACGTGCGACTGTGTGCACGTGCGCGTGGGTGTGTCGAATGTCATGCGTAATGTTGTGTACACTATTGACGGTATATATACACATTAAATATGTATGTATATATATATATATTCTGCCTGCCTGCCTGCCTGCCTGCCTGGCCTGTCCTGTCCTGTCCTGTCCTGTCTGTCTGTCTGACTGTCTCTCTGTCTGTCCGTCTGTCTCTCTGTCTGTCTCTCTGGACGTATGTATGCATGTATGTTAAATCTTACATGTCGTGTTAAAAAAGCTTTGATTCTTCGTTCCGCACTATCTGGCCAACATGAGCTGACCCGGTTGTCTATATAAGTCTCTATAAGTAAGTCTGCTACATAAGACCCTCGTGATTCTTGCTGTCCTTTTGCGGACCCGTCGCAAAACTTTCGCACAGACAGTTTGAAATGCAAATCTTGGAATCGTTTCTACAATGCTCATGTTGGCGACGTAGAAGACATGGATGATGTCAATGCAGTGTAAAGAAACACACGCTACCAGTTACCCGAGTTGTTACCATGGAAGTTGGTTATCGAGATTGCTTACCTTGAGTGATTACCAGGATTTTTTCAAACACGCTAAGGTTCAAAACATCTCAAAATCCTTGCACTAACGGTTATGCGTTGAGATCAACAACCGCGTGAATTCCGAAAGCGACTCTGACTTTCACTTTGCTCTTTGAGGCCTTTTACTTAACCTCTTGCAATGTGCTGAACAATAATCGCAGGTACATCAGGGTGATCAGCCCCAACATCATGAACCATTGCAGAAAGCTTCGTTGGGCAAAGCTCTGCCAGATTGATCTGCTCGCTGCATCTTTTTGCTCAACGGTTGTATAATAACCCCGTATAAGAATCCTTATCCCTGAATGTTGTTCTCGTTTTATTTTCTTCTCATCGTTTTACCACGGAAAATGCGTGACCGTTTCGTTATGTTGTGTTGTCGTTTTATGTTCTTCTTGTCGTTTTTCCACGAAAAACCATCAAAACCGAACACGGACATGTCAAGACTAAACTCAACAGCACGGGGTTATTATACAGTCCCAACTACCATTGCTGTGTTCGGCTTGATGTCCTCATCCCACCACACTTTGCTAGGGACTGCACCGAAAGGGTACTTGTACCGGCCACACCTCAGTGAGGCCGATGGACAAAGCACTGTGAAGGCCAAGGCCAGTCGAGCTGATAGAAAACCACCACCCCTAGGCCCCTAGGCCCTAGAGCACTGCTGTCAAGTCTCGCCCGCTTGCTCGTCAGCCAACCTGTGCAAAGCCGTCGAATGCACCGCCCTGTGAAGAGCATGGGCTACAGTTTCTCGAACATTGACTCTGGGTTACAGCAAGACGATCTATGATCGCGCCTTGAACCAGCCTGCGACACCATCTGCTGCAGATCCGCCTTGGCTACCTCCAAACTCAGGATCAGGGAGGAGACTTGCTGGCTGTGCACTCACACGACGCCACAACTAGATGCCGATCCGCATTAGCTTGTCAACAGTCGGGATCGTCATAGCACGTGTTGCAAAACTTGTGCGATGGTCACGACTTACGTTACTGCGCATGTTTTTCTCAGGTTTCCGCCTCAATTGCCTGCAGAAGGTCGGCCACAGCCATGCATTCCATACGAAGTCCAGCAACTGCCTGTCCGAGGCTGTGCAGACCGTGACATATTTGCAGATTTTCCGGCTGCGGTCTAGGATCTGCCTTCGGAACGCTTTCGGAGTCGTTTTGGAATCACAGGGACAGTTCCACTGTCCGACGGATTCCGGGATCAGTCGTGCGCCAAATGCGGCACACATCGAAACAAGGCGCCGTGGGAAGTTCAAGCGGCACTTGCCCCAAAAAATTGTGCCAAAAGAGAAGAAAACACTTAGCTGTTTTGGCTCTACACGAGTAAATGAACCACGTGCAACCAAGCCTGCCAGACTTCATGAATAAATACAAACCACGGAACAAATAGCTCAAACACTTACGACCTACAACGTACTCTCAGCACGCCCTCTTTGATGGACTTCTCTGCGCCTGGTAAAGCTGGGCCACCTCTAATGGAGAAGGTCTTGCATCTCCTGTTGATGTGGCGCTTGCATGAGAAACGAACAAGCTCTAGCCGCTCTGGCACGTATCAAGCCGGCGGGAGTCCTGTGAAGCCTTGATGGCCTGCATGGGCCAGCTGAAGCGGGGGCGGGGCCTGCACAGCGGCCCGCGGCACAGTCCCGAGCTCGTCAGTCTGCTTTTTTTGGCGTCTCTTCGCGTCACGCCTGCGGACCAGGGGGGCGCTCCACGGCCGGGAGCGGCATCTGCACCTGCGCCTCTCGGCAACAGCAAAGCTCGCCTCTACTCTTTGAGACGTGGCACACGGACTCCAAAACAAATGGCCGCAGCCGCGGGAGAGATGCGCTCCGCTGACGAGCTGAGGCTTCCGACGCTGGGCGGACTCGTCGGAGCACTCGCAAGGCCTCGGCCGGGCCATGGCGCAATGCCAGCTTTTACTTCAAAGCTCAAGGCTTTCGCCTGGTGGTGCCAGCATGCCAGGGAGGCAGGCCTGGCAGGGGAAGTTTTGGGAGACGATTACAAAGATTACAACGTCTCAATACCGAGCCGGCCGGACTGGCAGGATCTTGTTGCCTTCGGCAACAGTTCCACAGCCCTCCTGGGACCCTGGGTCTGGCCAACCCTGCCCGGGTCTTTCTCGGTGCTCTGACGTCATCTCCTTCAGAACGGGGCTATGCGAAGCTGGGCACCTGCACGTCCGTTGCGGCTGCCGTGACCACGACCTGCTGCATCTCCAAGGAGATATGTATCACTCATACAAGAGATCACGAGTGGAAACGGTGACCTCTGCAGATGCCGCGCTTTGGGCTTTCTGGGACCTGCCTGGCGTCTTGTGAAAAACGCAACTTCCTGCTGAGACGGTCTGCATCTTCGCTGCTGTTACACTGGATCATGGCTATCGGCAATGCGGTCTGTGATCGAAAGCTAGGATGTCTTGCAGAGTCATCTCAGCTGGTCTGCACGCTCACAATTGCTCTCCGGCTGCCCTCTTCGTGGCCCAAGAGAAGTATCAACAGTCATGACTCACATCAACCCAAATGGCCTCCGCTAGCGTAGTTGCCACGCATCTCCTTTTGCGCAGAGTTTCACGACAAAGCAAATTCAGCCGCAGAGCTTCTGAGCTGTTGCTCCTCCAAGCTGTGAGCGTACATGCAATCATCTGCGGAGTACTTGCAGACGCCCTGCCGCGCAGGCACGCAGCTACAAAGACCGATCGTGGGGATTTCACCTAAAGCCAGCCCCCTTCGGGACCATCCAGGCCTGAAAGTTGAACATGCAAAACTTGGTCTTTTGCCGCCACTTCACCTCGAGCCACTTCTAAATATATGCAAAGTCAGCAGACAGCCCGAGCGCGAGGGACGCCTGGATCCTTCGATTTAAATGTACAAACTACAGATTAGCCTGCATTCGCACGGCGACGAGACTGACCGACCACTTTTACAATAATTGTTCCACACCTCTTTTGGGGACATGTACGCTATTGGACACTCCATAGGCTCCCTGTCTCGGCCAGAAACGTTTCTCATGCCACTCCACTCGAGTATTCCCAAGCACCTAACAACGAATGGACCGGTGACTGCCCCGCCGGTCTGAGACAGCGTGGCACTAAAGACAGACTAGGAACCATCTCGTGGCAACCGTAAACCGCCAAAAACTTAGACCTGCTAAAATCAAAGTCAATGCCGTGGTGTTTCGCCAACAGCTTCATAGCATGATAGAAAGTAGCCGCTTGTTTGTCGAGCGGTTGCCTGCAAACACTAAGTGATGGATAATCCACTTCCGTGTTTCTGAACGGCCGCATAACCATCAACGGAAACCTCGGAACGCTGTAAGGGCCACAAGACTTCCCAGCGGAAGCGGCCCCATGCGGCCCCGCATCCCGCCTTGCTCTTCAGGGCCTTTGCTGCCTCGCCGTACCCCTGAGATGTAGCTCCCATCTCCCAGAGCCTGCAACGGACATGAGGGTGCTACTTGCTACTACACAGTGGTTGTATGGCTCTCCTTGCTCTTACGACGTACGAGTCGTCCCAGCAGCACATACTCCCGCCCTCCCTCATTGCATGCATACAACTTGTCACGACGGGTCGTCATGCCACAAGTGATTCTTCGGAATGGGCCTCACAAGCAACGACCGTTTGGTCGAGAGCTTGAGCCAGACCAGCCGGAACATCGCAATGCTTCCCACGTTGCAGAACCTCAACGCCACGAACCCGAGTCCTCCGTTTTCCTCTGTCACGTGCATTGCCGAAATGGGGGCTTCGCATGAATTGAGCGCCTTGGCTCTCTGTCGGACTGAAGAGGCACTGGCTCCGGGGCTGCTGTGCTCTCTCAAAACACCATGCCTGGAGGCCTGGCCTTCTGACCTGCATCACATTAGCGTGTAGGAAAACACAGGTGCAGCAGGAAGAGACATGCGCAACCTTCGGTTCCCGATGGATTTCTGTCTTATCTAGTCCTGTGGAGTGCCCGCTAGAAGCTGCCGATGCAGCCCGGTCCAACTGCGCAAACTGGCTCCGGCGAGTGTAGCTGCGCATGCATCTTTGCTGAAAGCACAGGGTGCCTGCAACTTCTTTGAATTAGACCGCGGGCTGGCGGGCTGGCGCCAGAAGCTGCACAGCTTCCATCATTGCAACACACATCTCGTTCCCTCATCATCCGAGTCCCCATCGGACACGACCTGGCTCATGTCGCACATACAACGTGGTTCGATCCAGGCTGTGGTGCAGACTTCAAAACACGCTAGAGGATGCGGTCCAGTCAGCCCACAGGAACACACTCCCTAACCCCGGCACAGCACCGTCGAACAGAGGCCGCGCTCGCCTGCAATGCAAGCGATCTCTCAGAACGATCTCTCCGAACGACCTCATGAGTCTCGGACCCACTTTTACAGTGTCCTACATTCCGTGCTGGTTCGCCAAACGGATCAGTGCGTCCAGAACTCCGTGGGTCCGCCTCTCACCTCTCGAGAAAGACGAGTGACCAGCCTTTCTCCTGGCTGATGTCCAGCTCATATTCGCTCCCACTGTCCTGAAAGCCGCCACGTTTCTAACACCCGGACACTGACCCTGATGTGCTCCCAAACCAAAAGCGAAGCCACTCCCTTTCTCCAGAAAGCCAACTCGTCTCCGTGCACTCGTCTCTCACCCACCTTTTAAGCTCTTGCATATGTTGTTGCTGTCGCCGTCGCCGTTTGCCCCAGTCCCTTTTGCAAAACTAGTTTTTCTATATCTCACAATGACATGTAACAATTATAGTGATGACCTTTTCAGATCCACTTCCGCATGCGACAATCTGATTTTCGGAGGGGCTCACAGCTCACACTTCTTGCCCCGTGTCGCAGCAGGGTCGCTGCGGCACTTGGTGCCTCGGTGCCTCATGCCTGGTGAACAAGAGAACACACCTCCATACGCCCAGAGGCTCGCTCCGAAGCCTTGAATCCGAAACTGGTGACGAGGCCCATATCCCCTTTGCACTGCCAGGCCCAAAGCTCTTCATCACTCGCAGGCTCCGGTCTTCTTTTTGCCGAGCAGCATCGCCGAAGCGGCAGGAACGGCACGCCATGTTCTCAGCAGCGTTTCAGGAAGCTTTCACAGTGGCAACATGCCACAAGCCAAAACCTTTCTACCCGACGTATGGTTCCTGAACCTGAAATTTTCTCGGACGAACTGCAGGGGAAATGGGAGGATGCCTGGCATCAGAGTGACTCTGAGCTCGTGGCATCCATCCCTCCACCTCAGCAACGAAAAGTGGCAGTCTAGAAGCGGCTCGTCTTGATGCCACCCAATTGCTGTGCCGCCTTCCGCCTTTCCTGGAAAAGCTGTTTAGCACTCCAGTGTGAGGCTGCATTGTGCTTCGCATCTTGGTGGAGTAAAACGAAGTGGCTCCCTGACAAAGGTGCCCCGAACAGGCAGTGACTGCACCACTGCACTCTCTTCAGCTTCTCTCCCTTTGCCATGCAGCTGCTCCTCTTATCCCTCACTGATCTAGAGAAGATGGGCACGCACCCATTCGTCTCATGCGTCCCTATGACGGCATGTCCGCCTCCGGGCCACGGTTTCTCACTGCTTAGCTCCAGGCAAGAAACTAAGCCTCTCCACTGGTGCTGCTTCCTCACCTGCCCAAACAAAGAGGAAGCTGCAGGAATCAGCAGACATCAACATCCTTGGCTTCCCTCATGAGAACCAGACGCTTCTTGATCAGGTTCCTACAACAGCCACGGCACGCCCGTACGCGTACTGCGTGTACTGTGTGTATGCTATGGATGTCAGGTCCTCTAGTTCTGGACCTCCAGCGAGACTGACTCGACACAAGAGAAGCATCGTAGTGCTTGAAGTCCAGCCGACGACAATTGATGCTTCCCCGCCGGGGCATAGACAAGATCTAGTTGTGTTCCACGAGCCAAACAGCCAAACATACACCACCTACATCATGTTGCAGCCATGCCAAATGAAGGCAACATTTGTTTGCAGGACTCCCAGCTTGCTATCCCCGGCCTGAGCCCAGACCTCGCTGTGAGCACGTGTCCACTCGACCACCTGATCAAAAATCCGCATGTTTCTTCTTGGAAGGCTTCAACTCGGAGACCTTCCCATGTTCCCATCGGCCTCTCCCACAACCACCGAGGTGTCATCCATCTTACCTCCCAGACCGATGGGCGTGTCTGGGAGGCCGTGGCGGCCAACCTTTCGCGATGGCTCAAGGGTCTAAGGTTAGGCTTGCCTCGGACGGCAAGACCATGCAATGCTGCACATGCTACTCAGCGGTCACGGTCTCGTTGCCTCGGACTTGCTGTGCGCTTCGTCGACAAGGCGCTTGGCCAAGAGGCTGAGAAGGCTCGGCTGGGTTGCGACCTCCCACTACCAAGCACTCCCAAGTCTCATCTTGAGGTGTCTTGGCAGAAAAAGGCAGGATGCAAAACATGCTGGAGCTTGCCCTACATATCTTTGTAGTGCGAGACTCCCAGCATCTCGGCCGCCGGCAAAGCTACCGGCTTTGGGTGCCGGCAAAGACTCGTTTACAATGTCGACAATCTGCCGAGAACACCCGCTCTGCAACTTGAAACAGGACAAGCTGCTTTTTGAAGTGTCGAAACACCAAGCATGCTCTTCTCTCGATCTTCAACCAGCTCATGCAGCTGTCTTGTCGTCGTCCTCTTCCAGGAACAGGTTGTCGAAAATCCCGTCGCTTCCCAGAATCTCAGCAACGAGAAACCCAACTGGAGAGACTTAGTGGGCATTGCACAGGGATGCATATGTTCTGATGTGCCTGTTTCTGTCTACATATTAATTAGCTATGGAGCGCTACATACATACATACATATACGTACCTACCTACCCACCTACCGACCGACCTACTTACCTACAAAAGACTGTACATACGTAAATACGAAGAAGACATGTACGTACACACATACGTACATACCTACATACGGAAATATGCACACATACGTACACAGAGCTGCAGCTGCAGGGGCGGCCAAAGGTTACAGACAAGGCCTGGATCGTACGCAAGCCCTACGCAAGCTATAAACCTTTCTAAGGTAGCGCAGTAGCGCGTGCTCCTGTCATTACTAACCTGTATACCTGAACTTTGAACTTTATACCCAACATTACCCAACCCTAAACCCCATCTAAATGCGGGCTCTATGCCTAAAGCACCGACATAAACCGTCAACCTTAACGAACCTACACCCCAAACCCTCTCTAAGCCGTTGTCGACTCGAAGCCTAATACCTGGTAACCCTAAACCTTAAACCAAAACTCAAAAGCTCAAGCTGAAACCCAAAACCCCCACAACCACCCCACAGGGGAAGAGGGACCCACAGGGGGGCCGAAAGCGCCGTGGGGGCCGCGGAGCGCGTGACCACAAAAAAAAACACGCACAAACTGACGAACATGCAGACGTACGTACGATAAACCAGACAGGCAGGCTGGCAGACAGCCAGCCAGCCAGCGACAGACACTGACATAGCTATATACCTAGGATACACGTCTCTATACAGCTGAAACCACACACAAACTTTCACCAGGACAACAAAAAAGGGACAAGAGGATCGAAGACAAGGCAGCATAAGATAGTACCAGACAAACGCCCAGAAATTCCCAGAAAGGCCAGGCGAGGTTCAGTAGTTAAAAACATGTGATCCGACGAAACATCACATATGCGTGTGACCTGAAGCTGGGAACCCCTGCGATGATGTCGCCCTCGTAAGCCGACACGCAATGAACAGCGCTGCCTCGCTCGATGACCTCCACGGCGTAACGGGGCGCCGGGGCGCTCAAGTGTCAGCCCGGACACAGGAATAAAGATTAAAAATAATGGCAAGAATCATCATACTGGCGTGATAGTGGTAGTGGTGGTAGTAGTAGTAGTAGTAGTAGTAGTTAGTAGTAGTAGTAGTAGTAGTAGTAGTAGTAGTAGTAGTAGTAGTGGTGGTGGTAGTCGTAGTAGTAGTAATAGTCGTCGTAGTAGTAGTAGCAGCAGCAGGAGTAGTAGTAGTAATAGTAATATTGCATTGCAACCGTCTCGCACCCGATCTGCGTTCGACGATTGGACAGGCTTTGTCTTGTCCGGCAGCTGTGAACTGCGCCGCACTTTATGGCGGCTCAGACAATCCGAAGAAACTGTAGCCGAACTAATCCATCTCATCAAGCATCACCACATCGACTGCCGGAGCTGTGGTTTGCAATCGCAATGCTCTAGCTGTGGTGGCCGACGTTGGAGACGACCTTGTCTCCGAACACAGCTTTCCTTATGGTTGCCACCATTGGTTTCTTTGCACAAGGAGCAGCAATGCGCGTGTGTACTGGATGCCAGAAGTCCACAGCCATCGTACGAGTAACACATTCCGAGATCCTCAGGCGAAAGGTGGCTTTCCAACGACGGTCGCAACGCTTGCTATGCTGTCCATCGAGGCACTGGGTGCAACAGGCTCGCGTGCCCTCTGCACAAGGCTTGTCGCAGCCCGGTCGTGAGCATGCCACCATGACAAGAGTGAAGACTGTGTGACGCTGCTATGTGCACATAGATGCCACACAACTGCTGCCTCATGTGCGGTGCACGGAGAGAGGCCTGTTTCTTTCCGTGCACCGCACCCCAGTGTGCCGTAAGAAGTAGCTACCAGGTCTGTACGAACACCTTATTATGGGTGAACCGGCAATCAGCAACTTTGGGAGCCCCAAACCTTAGATCCTCCAGCTGAGCCTGCAAAGGTAAGGAGATGGACTCCCACCTATTCACAGCATATGCCGTCAACAACACCCGATCCTGCCCTTCCCACTTGCATGTGCAGTGAAGACGAGTGTGCGAAGGAAAACGCACGGCACACATACTAAAAGCATGGCGCTCACCACGGATCTAGGAATTGTTGTACTCGACATGTCCACGCCCTTCACAGTCCTCTAGACGGCCAGCTCGCCAGGCTTGCCTTCAAGCAGGGGCCAGCTGGGGAGCCTGGCCGGGCTGAGTGGGTTGGGTGACAGAAAGAGCAGAGAAAGCGAGAGAGCGAGAGATCTTCCTTGTAAAGGAAGAAGAGTAAGAAGCTAGAGGGAGAGAGAGAGAGAGAGAGAGACAGGGGGAGGGGTGGAACGCGGGGTTGGGGCTGGGCCAGGGGGTTGGGAGGGTGGGGAGGGTTAGGTTGGGGAGGAAAACACAACAAGCATAGAGCACCGCTGTAGGCTACAGGGTGGAAGGCGGTCAAAGGCTGGAGGGTGGAGGGCCCGAGTGACAAATTGGGTGAGTGACTGGGGAGATGGGTGGAGAGGTAGAGGGAGTGGAGGGAGGGTGGAGAGAGAGGGGAAGAGGAGGGAGGGGAGGTAGGTGGCAAAGTGGTGCTTTCACTGTAGCCTCGCGTTGATCTCCGACGGCTGCCTGCGGCCGTACTCCAAGCGACGAAGCACTGTGCCATGCTCCCCTATATACCATGTTCCACCCTGCGCTTCCGCTCTTTTCTTGGCGCACCTGAAAGTGCGCTTTCGGCTACTGCTCAAGTGTGTCCTGAATGCTTTTCCCCTCCAGTGTCTTTCAGTCCTGTCGGAGCTCCTGGGATCGTAGTGGAGCGATCACCACCCCTCGGGTATTTCTGTGTTGCATATGTTGCATGTCTAGTACGGCCATCCACAAACCAGGGGAATTGGGACCCTTGCAGCTGTATCTCCTTACACAGCGAGCCAGGTGTGTTCATCCAGCAGAAAAGACCGGTCAGAAGAAGGCAACGATACGCCATCGACCCTTGCACTTCCGGCCCTGCCTCAGGCTCACTCCAGCCGAAACCCGTAGTAGTCGTAGTAGTAGTGGTAGTAGTAGTAGTAGTAGCACTAGTAGTAGTAGTAGTAGTAGCAGTAGTAGTAGTAGTGGTAGTGGTAGTGGTAGTCGTAGCAGTAGCAGTAGCAGCAGTAGTAGTGGTCGTAGTGGTGGTAGTGGTGGTAGTGGTGGTAGTGGTGGTAGTGGTGGTAGTGGTGGTAGTGGTGGTAGTGGTGGTAGTGGTGGTAGTGGTGGTAGTGGTGGTAGTGGTAGGTGGTAGTGGTGGTAGTGGTGGTAGTGGTGGTAGTGGTGGTAGTGGTGGTAGTGGTGGTAGTGGTGGTAGTGGTGGTAGTGGTGGTAGTGGTGGTAGTGGTGGTAGTGGTGGTAGTGGTGGTAGTGGTGGTAGTGGTGGTAGCGGTGGTAGTGGTGGTAGTGGTGGTAGTGGTGGTAGTGGTGGTAGTGGTGGTAGTGGTGGTAGTGGTGGTAGTGGTGGTAGCTGGTAGCGGAGGTAGTGGTAGTGGTAGTGGAGGTAGTTGTAGTAGTAGTTGAAGTAGTAGTAGTAGTAGTAGTAGTAGTAGTAGTAGTAGTAGTAGTAGTAGTAGTAGTAGTAGTACTAGTACTAGTACTAGCACTAGTAGTAGTAGTAGTAGTAGTAGTAGTAGTAGTAGTAGTAGTAGTAGTAGTAGTAGTAGTAGTAGTGGTGGTAGTAGTAGTCGTAGTAGTAGTAGTAGTAGTAGTAGTAGTAGTAGTGGTAGTGGTAGTAGTAGTAGTAGCAGCAGTAGTAGTAGTAGTTGTAGTAGTAGCAGCAGTAGTAGTAAACTTTGCAAACGCTGATACTACTGATCGATGTTGATCAGCATTTTCGATGTCAATGTGCGCTTTCCTACATCCGACATAGCCGCCTGCCCCTACCGTCTGACCATCAGCTCCATGCTTTCTGCGTGAATGTACAAGCAAATGTTGGCAAGATATCAGCTCTTCTCGAGCCCCACCTCCAGGGCCAGCTCCTCGTCGAAATCGGGATCCACCCGATCCTGGCACACGTTGGAATGTCTGAGGCATGTCCCCATCCTTGTTCCATTTAAGGGAGCTTACCTTCGGGCGAAAGCTTTTTCCGGCGCTCGTGAAGGTATGCAAAAATTGCCGGAGAGGCGTCGACCCGAGCCAGCTGCAGTGGCGTTTGCGACTCAGCCAAAGAGGCAGCTTCTTCCAATCAGTCTTATTGTGGCCGTGCAGTACTCATTTTACTCATGTTCTTTCATCTTGCCTTTAAAACGACTCACGGCATACAGGCTCTTTAATTTGTCGCGATAGCCTTCGTGCCTAGATTTGTCGTCTGGCTTCTGCCTGTTCTTTGTGCAGCCATACTCTGTTGCGAGTAGTATTGCATTCTTTTGTACACAGCGTATCCCATTTGTAATTTTATCTGTACTGTTCATCTTGCTACTACAGCATTGAACTCATTTCAAACTTTCTCGATGTCATTCACGTTGCCGGCATCATTCGAGCCTGTCATGATCGTCATGACCTGCGTGTGTCCTCTGCTCATGTGGCTCATTCTTGGACTTTGTGACCTGGCCCATACGTCCCAAACTGCGACATTCGTCAATCTGTTCCAGCCTGGTATTGACTCAGTCTTGAAATGGTAGCTGTGATGCGGATTGTGAATACCCAGTACGGTTTACCTGCCTTAGCTGATGACTTCGGGTCTGTGGGGGGTCATGCACCAATCAGAACCAGAGGCTGGCTCAAAATCTGGCCAATTCCGGTCCATAGGGCCCCGGGCATGTCCATCAATGCGCTGCATCTCTGTATGGAAGACCTGAAGCTCTCGCAAGACTTCCTGGACAAGAATACTGGGTTCTTGCTTAGGAATTACTTCATTTAAGTTACCATAGTATGGAAACGATATTATTTGCGATGGATCCCTATTGTGGTAACTGATTTGTTTCTTCCCTCAAAGAGCCCTGAGCCGTGACAAAACCTTTGCACCGGGGTCCCGCGCGGCTTGCAAAGGAGACTGCCGACCTCGGCAAGTCACGGAAGCCCACACAGCAGAGCAGATCTTGCAAATTGGACAATTTCAGGAGGAATCGACAGTCAGCCCAAGCAAAGAGGGAGCAACAATTTGGTGCTTTGCAAGCGGCCATCTAATCTTCGCAGCATCAGCAGCTCGCAGTCACCTGCAATCATGCAGTGCCGGTGCTGTCAACACTGTAGAAAGATCTGACCCAGCGCTCGACGACAAACTCCACCGAAAGCAACTGCAAGTTATGTCTCCATGGACAGGCAACTCTACTGACAGTTTTCCTTCATCAAACAGGGCACCTATCGTGAGCACGGCGACCATGGGGTGTAGCCTCGGAGTCGCGTGAAGCCAGGTCGCCGGGAAAATGTGCGAAAAACGTGTTTGGATCGTCGAAGGGTCTAGGTCTAGCTGGGGGCCCTGACTTCCCGTGAATCTTCGTGCTGTTGTCGAGGACCTTAAGCCAGGCCCGGGCCCGCAACGAAAGGTGCGGCCCTCTGACAGGCAGAAGCCTCAGACGGGCGGTGTCTCAGCCCAGCGCGGCGAGCAGGATGGTGGTCGAACCCATGCCTCGAGACACGCAACAAGCGCCAAGTCGCGAGATCAGCGGCCGAGTTCAGAGCTTTCGGTCTCCTCGTAGGCTTCCTGGAAAGAATGGAAACTTTTTCAAAGGGACTCACTTTGGCAAGACTCACTTTACGCCATTGCCTTCAGCAAAGACACAGGCCCCTGGTAGGCTTCCTGGCATCGCACACTTCCGGTACCGAACTTCCTACAGGTGGTCGCCTGGCCTGTGGGTTCACCTGCCGGTCCGGGATCAGCTGGTTCATGCCGAGATCCTCTGGCCGAAGCTTGTTCTGATAGCTTGACGGATAGATAGATAAGATGCGAAAACCTATATCTCAGCAAAACGTGCAGCTGGATTTTTTCTACGTTCATCATATATTTACATGTATGTCCTGTATGTCTGTGTATATACACACCTAGGAAAGCAAACAAAAGGAGTCCTCGCAGATCCGAAGCAGCTCCTCGGCTCGGCCGCAGTCGGTAAAGTTTGCTGTCAGAGCGGTTCAGGAAATCGCTGTGTTTGGAGTTGCGGCACCATTTTTCACCCCAGAACCATCCATCCCCGAACACATCACCAATCAGCTAAGCTCACCCGACCAAACGTGGACCTGCCCGAGCTCAGGCAGGCTTCCGCCCTCTAAAGAGATGTTGCTGCCATCATTCAGCTCCTTCTGAAGATCTCCTCCTCATAACTACAGGCAACAGAAATAGAAGGTGGAAGGCCCAGTGTCGCGGGGAAGCTGCGACGCGTCCATCCCAAACTCCTCGAGCTGGGACCTCGAAGTCTTCGTTTAGGAGTTTTCGGAGTTTCGGAGTGTTAGGGTGTGGGGTTCAGGGTGGGTTGTGGGCTTTGTTTGCAGTAAAGGGGGCAAGCACCAGTGGTCGCAATCATGTCGATACAACCAACTAAAGCACGAGCTGCAAGAATCAAGAAAACTGTCTCTCCCGAGTAGCAACATGTAACCTGTAAGCACTACTAACACTCACAAGGAGAGGGATAGTAGCCGTCAACAGCTAAAGGCGACAATCAGGAACCGTTTGCAGACGAAACCGCAAAGCGGATACTGTGTAGTTCAAGACAGGCAGCAACCCTTGACTGACGACTCTTGGTCCTTCCATTTTTCCAGGGTCCACAAGCTTTGCTGCATCACAGCTATTGCCGTACGGGCCAATCTCTGCCACAGTCTGCCCCATAAGGCAACCACACGCCATCCGCCACTCCCAAGATCATTGGCGATGCTAGAGTCGCATCGGCGTCCTGCCGAGTATCTCTTCTTCAGTGTCTCTGGACTCGCCGAAGGGAATTCTGCAGAACGTTTAGTCTAGGACGCATGCTGCCCCAGCCTTGTGCCCCAAGCTGAGCTTCTTTGGATGTGTGCGCTGGTAGCTCTTCGCCTGTCTCTTCTCGTCTCCCAAAGGTATCGAAAGCATGTATGCCGTTGTATAGTTATACACTATGTGTATTCAATATCACAGTAACAGCTGAGCTCTCTGCGCTGAAACAGAGTGGCTTGTTCTTCTGGTACTCCTGGCCGCACAAGATCTGCTCTGAACGCGTCGCCCCATGATGAAATGATGAAACCGATGACTGTCAACCATCCCCTCATCAACCTTCTTGTTGCTGCCCAACTAGAAAGTCAACAACCGTGCACCTCATTGAAATGCTGCTCTTTGCGTGAGAACTCGCTGAGAAGCGTTCGCTGCTTCTCCGTGCCTTGCTCCAGCGCGGGAATCTCTGTCTGTGGGACTGTGAGGCATTCGAGGGTTGCATGGTAGACCCAGGGGCAGAACCGTCTAGCAACTCACCGTCATTTCTGAAACAGACATGATTCATTTATGTGTACAAGGTGTAGCTCCATTAGGGTATCTGTTGTGCAGACTTTCAGACCCTGGTTGGTAGTGCGCGCAGTGCATGCAATCCAGGCCGAGCAAGTTTTCTATGGAAATGCAGGGGTTTTCTTTCCGCTGGTCCTTGCAGCCAGTCGGGCTAGCTTCGCACGTTGCTGATCCACAACGCTGATTTGCACCTGGACCGGTACCTCAATACCAATGCTCAAGTCGGGCCCGCTCGCTCCCAGAAACGTGTAAGCTGACTGGACTCTGGACTGCCTGTGAGACGTGCCGCTTCGCACTTCGGCGGCGAATTAGGTCTTGGACGGTCCACAGAAGGCAGGCGACAGACCTCAAACCATGCTATACCATGCTCCAAGGCTGCCAAGGCTGCCAAGGCCAGCCCCCAGGACTTTCAATCTGGGCAGACGGGCTTGGACAGACCTGCGAGAATTCATCAAAAGCCGGCTTTGCGCCAAGGTTCGAACATACGGAGCAATGTGCTTGCTGTGCGTATAAAAAAAGACGGCCGTTGCCGTTCGGCAGCCTTGGCCTACAGAAGTTTTCCCGCATCCAAGCGGCTCAGCATCAAAATGACAAGTCTAACACTACGAGGTATGGGCCCGCAAGTCGCAGCTATGGACGACCCGTGCCACGAGGCAAAGATAGAGAAAGTCTGGCACAGCCAAAACTTCATGATGAATTGCGATTACCACCATCTCCAGCATGTGCTCGTCAAAAGGCCGAATCGAATCTAAACATGAAAGAGAAAGAGAACACTTGCCCCTATACAAACCCAGCCTGTTCCACTGTTCCACACATGTCACTGAACTTGGCCTAGCTCTCGCTGCGGTAGTTCACCGCTGTTTTCTGTGCGAAGCAAGAAGCATCTCACACCTTCGCATACAGCGAAAGCCTGGCGATCCTGTCGTGGAGTGCTTCGATTACAGGCGCAGCCCAGGCTTTAGGTTTCAATCCACCATGCAGTCGGCTGCGAATGTCAACAATGCTGGGATTTGGGTGTCGGAGTCTCTTGCATGCCCCAGCCTACCAGCCGTCTTGCTGTAGCCCACCCACTGCCTCGGCAGTTGGCCAAAGCATCGGACTGCTCCCCAGGAAGACGAGCTCGCTAAGGCAGCCACTCCATGGACACCTGGAGGCCTTATCCCAATCGAGACTTCATCAGTCCATGAAATAAATCGGCAGCGTCTTGATCGACGAAGAGTCAGAGCACAACCAATACGACACGCGACGCGAGACAGCACATTAACCTCTGCCTGCATGGAATGCAGGCTGGTGACTCGAAACTTCGTGTCTTGGCTCACGGTGGGAAGCAGAGACCCGAAGCTCGCAAGACAAGCACCCAAGATTCTCGATGCCTGTTTGCACCGCTTGCTTCCAGGACGTCTGCAGAGAACTGAGCTTGCGGCCTGCATCCACCTCCCATCTGTTACATTCAGCTCTAGGACTCTAGAACAGGCAGGCAGTGCACTGGAAACTGCTACTTTAGACACCTGAAAAGAAGGCTTCCTGGGAACAAGCGCTGCACTGCCGTGTTTCTGCCACATTCTTCACTTGACATCCTCTGACTCAGATTCCTGGGCATGATTCTGTGCTCCGGGCCGACACAACTCAATAGCTCGCAAGATTTATTCGCACGGGAGCTAAAACAGCCTTCCAGCAACAGATCCTCCAAACGCCGTGGATGCGTCAGTGTCAGAAGCAAAACGCACAGCAGCAGTGAGAATAACCCCGCCCCCCGTGTGCACACCTCTAAGTCCTTGATGTATCGAGCATAGGGGCCTTCCTTGCTAAGTTGTCCGAAAAAGAACTCTGTAAACAACAACTCCCGCAAGCTCCAAGGAGCTATGTTTCGCGACTTCGACCACAACGACGTCTGTGACTGCTATGGCATCCATTTCTGCGCATAGTTCAAACGTCGCTCGCTTCACTTATATCCAAGTTCAAATTTGGAAAGTGTTGCCAGCAATTGCAACGGCGACCAACTTCCGGGCTTCTTCTGTCCGCCCCTCCAGCGCCTCCCTCAAGAAGAGCGGCACAGACTGCTCCCGCGCAAAGTCTGTCACTGTGCGATTGCGTGCATTGCGTGTGTCCGAACTTGCACCCGCGGCTAAGAGTGCAGCAGCACCTTCGTACTGCCCAGTCATGACCGCAAGCATTAGTGGCGTTGCACCATGACCGTGGTATGCCAGTCTGGTAAGAATTGTGTGCCTCCCAAAACGGTATTGCATGGATTTCACAGCAAACAAGATGCCGTGGATGCTCAGCAGGCGCTGCTTGAAGGGGGTGTTCATGTCAGCTCGCAGTCTGATCAGGAGCTCCACAAGCTCTGCTTTTCCACCTGACAAGGCTTATCACTCAAGACTTTGCAAATCAGGTTTAGCTACTGTAGTTACAGTTTCATGCTTGACCCTTACTATAGTCGCCTCTGTTGGACATGGAGGCGAAGAAGGACCGGGAGAGATCGATTCGGTACTCCGCCTGGGTCAGGAGCTCCTGCATCGCCTCTAGACTGCCCGCACCACAGGCTGCGTCAAAGGCAGAGAAGCCCAGGATGTCCTGAGAAAGCCGAGTGGTAAGGGTGTGCTCTGCTCAGCTTGGAGCAAGGACACTACTTGCAACATGGACATTATCTCAATGAGCATGAACTTCCTGGGCGCATCTGATCGACCCCTGTCCTTCGTGTCAGGCTCACAGCCGGCCTCGCAAAGAATGCGAATACCTTTCGGATTGTTTGCCATGGCCGCCAAACTGATAGGCGGTTGAATTCCACTGCCGACCTGACCAGGACCCCTTTGCATCGACACGTTCCGTTTTGCAATCGCTGCCCCTGGTTTGAGACACTCCTGCCTGCGCCTTCGCTGCCAGAAGTACGCGGGCCGCCTCGTTGTGTTTGAACATGAGGCAGATGGACAGTGCCGACGTTCGAGGTGGCACCCCTGCTTGGGGTTGGGGCTTCCTCGTCAAGCGATCAAGATGAGCACGATGTTCGAGCAAACTCTGGATCAGCACCGGATCCCCTGCCAAAGCGCAATAGTGCAGCGGTGACCATCCCTGACAGTCAACGTCGCCCACGGCAGAAAAGCCGTTCTGGAACAGGAAACGAGATACTGCAAGAGAACCTGAATCCAGGTTTGCTTCATCAAAGCCGGGAATCAGATCGCCAAGAGGATTCGCTGGGAAGCCCCTCAAAAACACGGTCTGCAAATTCAGGCAGACGCGGTATCCCACCAGGTCCTCATTCTGCAAGTATAGGAGCAGCCTGTGCTTCACGGACTGCAACACCACTGGAGCAAGCTGCAGACGGTCCACATCCACCGTGAAGGTCCCTTCGCCGGGCGAGCCACCAATTGATGCTGCGGGTGTCGCGATCAGCTCTAACTCCGTGCGGCTCTTGACCATGATCCATGACGACTCCGAGGACAGCTCTCGAAAGACTCGTTCCTGCATCGCTTGGACTGGGGCTTTCCTGGCGAAAGATGTTTGATTGCTGACCTTAAAGGTAAGACAAGTTCTGTTGTTTTGCTTCCAAGCAGCAGCGCGGCACCACCCCCTGTCTGACCAGCTGGCCGGCGTGAAAACCATGGACCGGTTCGGATTGTAAACAACTGGACAAAGAGCGAAGAAGAAGGAGCATCTACCAATATAGGCTGGAATACTTCCAATTGCTGAAGCCAGCTGGCTTTGCTGGCCGAGTCCCTCTTGCAGAACTGTCTTCCGAGCGTGAAAGTCGAGCTGTGGGCAGGAGAAGTAGTCATACCAAATGAACAAGGGCCGTTCTCGCAAGACCTTCGCATCGAGGCATTCTACGCCCGGTACAAGGAACTCTGTGTTAAGGTCCAGGGATATGTACCGCATGTCTGAGAGTGCATGTTCCAATGCATCCTGCAGAACCCGCAACTGTTTGAACTCGGGATCCGGATGCTTCTCTCCAACCCACTGGTGTGATACGAACAACGCCCTTCCGAGGCTCTCTTCGAACTCCACCAACAATCCCCTGTTCTCGAGCACCTCATGCGGCTCCACTTCCGTCATTTCCATCAGTCGTGCAAGGGGCAGCGTGTACATCGGGAAATGCAGAGGCAAGGATTCTTCGGCATCCACCGGTTTTTGCTCTGCCAGGAATCTGGCATAGCGATGCAGCGGTGTCGTAGCTTTGCCAGCACCGCAGACAGGCATGTCAAAATCCGATGGCTCGCAGATTTCCGAGACCCAACAAACCCTGGCACACAGTGCTACTTCTGAGTTCCTGCTTGAAGCAAAATTCTCCTCTGCTGTTCTAACAAAACAACAACAGTACCTTGCACCACCTGGAAGCTGCCAACCCGGACCTGGCATGGTCAACCTGGAAGAAAAACACAGCATTGACACCGATGACATAAACCATGGCGATACACTGGACCTATGTTTATTCAGCCCCAATGTGGACACTAAACAAACAGCAGGCTACAAAATAGCTCGTCTTCCCAGACGGTGCCACAGGCCCCAGAAATGCCTGGGTTACATGCTGTTGAAGTTGCGATGAACACGCCTCTACAGCAGTTTCGCATGCGCTTGGCTGCACAGTGCTACACAACTGCAATCAACAGCCCAATCACCCTTGCCCGGCCATGACAGTGTCAATGATGCGCTCGGAGGTGTCCCCAATCAAGGACTCACCTACGGTGCAAGGGTGCTTCGTATTCGAGCAATCAGGTCTGGCTAGCACAAACAAGCCTACCTGACTTACGCCTGCCCTACAAGAGCAAAGCTTGGCCAACAAGAGCACGCAGCTATTCGAAGGCTTCGAGCTGCAAACATGACGAAACTCAAAGGCCACAGGAGAAAGGTGTAACTTGCTTGTAAAAAACCCTGCAAACCCTAAACCCGAACACTGGCGGGGCCTATGTTCTGCAGAAGCTGGAATAGACCGGTGCGACAGTCCTGGAAAGAACAAGGCCACAACCGACACAACCGTAACAAACGCCCAATATTAAATTTGGTCATAACCGCTTGTACTGACAAGTTATATCATATTAGCATTATGCATTTAACAATTCTTGTATTACTATGTTGTATATTGCTTTGCGATGCAGCCGCGATCGACCCTTTGTTGTCCTCAGCGGTGATGTTCTCGCCACCACCAGACAGCCGCAAGAAGGACTGGGCAGGGGCAACAGCACAGGGAAGCTCCGTTCCGATAAAGGCGACATTCCGGTCCTGCATCTCAATCCCCTTCACGGACTGCCATGCAGATTTGGCGCCAGCCCTGCTGCCCTGCTGCCCTGCTCGCGTCCTCCAAGGCTTCGGATTCGTTCACGGGGTTCATGCGCAGGAGCATCACAAAGGCATCCCGATCGATGGCAAAAGCCTGGACACGTCAGGTCCCGAATTACGGGGTGACGGGACATGAAATTGACCGGGCGGGCCGAGGCTGACAGCACAGTCGCTCTAAAGCCGAGGCTTTGTCACAGCTTTGGGCACATGCCGCCATCTCCCATGAGTACAGACCACAGCAGCAGTCGCCATTCCAGCTTAAAAAGAGTACACAACGTCATGGGGGCCCGTGTTTTCAGATGAGAGTGCGTCGGAATACGGCCCCGTGTTTTTCGAGTAAAACAGCTGTTTTTTTGTATTTCACAATGTAATCTGAAATTCTATCTTGAAAGTTGCCAATCCAACCTTACTAATCTTTTTGGCTGCCAAACCCGGCCAGCCGTACAAAGACATTGGGTTACCCAGAGAATGTGAAGATAGGATTTGTTGGACTGCTTCCTGAACACCTCGAAACTCAACAGGATGGAGTTGATGGCGAACCTGACAACTTTGCCGTAATCACACTACTCTATATCTGAACCCGACAGCCTATACAGCAACTCGCAAACTTCAAGAAACATAAGTGGTGAAGGAATCCCAAATCTGAAGCATAGCACTTGGCCTGACAGCCGATGTTGCACCCTTACCCGAAGGGTCCACCTAGATATATGATATGTGCCTGGTTGTTTATATGTTAACTTGATAACCAAAGCATATGCTACTTAGGTATACGGGCCCTGGGATAAATCCTAACCTTGACAAGGAGATTCTCTGAAACCTACAGCCTCGTCGCGACATGACCTGAAAGATTGGAGGGATAGCAAGTCGCTAAGCCTAGCACTCGGTTCCCGAAAACAGCAGGTCATGGTCAGTTAAATCCCTGAGATAAAAGAGTTGTTTAAATACAAAATGTTTGGGGGCCAAGAGCCCCAGGAGATAATAGTTGATGACCTCCGAAACCGAACAAGGATTACTAAACATACAATATCTGATCAAAGGTGATGGTGGGAAAATTTGCAACTTGATGCCTTTGGAAGAAGATGATGAATGGCAAACCTTAAATGCTGAGAGGGGTCACTGGGTAATGCAATTTGCAACCCTAATTAGTATGATAGAATGCGTGACAGGCATAAGACTTTTGAAAGAAATAGTGAGTAACCTAACACAAGCCAGGCAAATCTTTAACTTTGAACCAGGCGGCGGGGTCTTGGAACCCTTGGCCCTCGTAGGAAACGATTGGTTGCACCCGAATATCTCTGAGCCAGCGACATGCCAATCTTCTTAAGAAGAAATAATGGGCGACAAGCAAAATAATGGAATATATTGGTGCCTGGCCAACCTTAAGCCATAAAACCTGCTCCTCCCCCACCACCACCACCACAAAAAAGTAGGGTTGGTTCCTCAAGCCACAAGCCTCGAAACAGTGTCAACAAACAGTCGCTACCACGGAGGCACCGGGATATCAAAGTGCAAGTTCATGGCAGTGATAATGTGCGGCAAACATTGGGTTTGCCAACCCACATGTCCCTGTGGCACTATTGTTGCCAGCCGTTGAGGTGTTCGGGGTTTGCCAATTCTTGTATAGAAACATTAGTACAAAGAGACTACATGGCTTGTGGCGCATGGTGGAGGCCATGAGGGTATCTTCTTTCATGGTTTGGATCTTCCTTCATGATTTGGGGCTTGCCGAAAAGCATCTCCTGTTAGACTTCGGGGGTTTCATCTTATCTGCATGCTGGGAATTTCTTTTCTATCATCTTACTGGCCATCATCTCCGTTTTAAATTCAATATACATTGGTCCACCAACATCCCCTCTTATGGCTTGACATTTGCCAACCCACGTTTTGTCGACGGGCGGGCGGCTTGCGAGATGTCATCTTTGTTTGGCGAGTGTGTGGGTGCCAGCCAATTTTTCATGTCAAAGTTCGGGGTCATGTTAGGACTTGGCTTTGTCAACCAACATCCATGGTTAGAGTGATGGGGTATTTTCACGTTTCGAAGTATGACATATGGTAACTAGCCGTTATTTCCTTTTAACGGTTATTTTGCGACACAGCATGTCACTTTTAAGGCTCGGGCCGTGCCAACCCATATTTCGTGGTTTGCTAACCAATATCTCTGTTAAGGGTTTGATGCTTCCGAAAACACAATCTTCTTTAAAGGTTGAGGCTTGCCAAACAGTAGGTTCAGTGGCATGGATGTTGTCAATCTACATGTCGGTGTATATCGCTTTCCTCTTACCACCCTTAAAGGTATTGTGGGGACTGCCAGCTACATCGCCTTGTTGGGACTGGGGTTTGTCAATAGAAAGGTTCGGGGTTTCCAACCCATATTTTCAACAAAGCTTTCGGCTGTATAGACAAACATATGCTTTAGGTACTGGGGGATCTACCAGCCAACATCGCCTTCTAGGATTTGGGGGTTGTTGAGCAACCTACATGTTTTTGGGAGGATTTGGGATTGCCAACCCACCATCTCTTCTGATTCACAATTCCCCAAACAACGTCTAATGTAGTATTTGGGGTGTCCCAATCGACATCTCCTTCCACAGTGAAACTGATTAAACAGCAAGTTTATCAGAAAGCTTGGGGTTTGCTAAATAATCTTTTCTTTCAGATTTTGATTTTTACCTATTATCACAAACCTTATTGGGCTTAGATGATCCATCTTAGTGGACATGTACGCATACTTTTTGATAACCAACATGTCATTCTTCAGGTTCTGTATTTGGTTTTGCCCAACATCTTCCTGTAGTTTGTCTGGGTTTGCCTGACAACATGTCCGTGTACTGATGGGGGTCCTCATCCCCTTCAGTGTTCAGAGTTTGTCAAGTCTTTTCATTAATGTTGGGGCGAAGGTGTCAAAATAATTCATGATTTGGAGTGCTTGGTGGAGTGCGAAGGCCTGCTCATTACGTTTTTGGGGTGGGTTCCCCCTCCCCTCCCCGCACCGCACCCGAAGGCCTCAGGGGTGGTGCTCAGCCGCCTCCCCCAGACCCATGCGGGGGGCCGGGGGGGGGGGGGGGGGGGGCAAAAAAAAAAAAAAAATTCTATATATATATATATACATCATATATATATATATATATATATATATATTTTTTTTTTTTTTTTTTCGTCCCCCCCCCCCCCCCCCCCCCCCCGCGGCCCCGCGGTGCACGCATACGACGCCAGCCGTCCCACGTCTCCCTGCTGTGGTTTGTTTTCTATATAATCTGTGAAAATGAATTGCCTCCACTTGAATATTTTTGCCAATCAATTATTTATTGGTACCTACCTTTTCATTGAATACAATGTACTTATAATCACGTTACGATACAGCTTTTTAGCATTTACAGAACATAAAAGCCTAAACATAACTATATACAAACGCAGGCCCGTATTTTGACGCGTTCTGTTTCACATATGGCTGCTATATGTAAACAAAAACGCAGGCCCCCATGACGTGGTTTTCCGCTTAAAAGCCATATAGCTGCTAGCAAGGCTAAATAATCATCGGGCATGTGCAGGCCTCGTTGGTGGAGGCGATCTTCAGGAGCTCTGTATCGATGTCTTGCACAGCGCCTGGGCCGGTCGATGCTGCATGCGGCGTGTGAACCTTCTGCGACGCATGTCTTTTCAGGCGAAGCAGCAGCGGCCATGTGTAAACAAAAACCTATCTATGCCTGTCCTGATTTTCTGGGACCGTGGCTGTGAGACTCGATGAAGCTCCGCAACTCATTATGGTCCGGTTGCAAGGCCTCCTGCAAAAGCGTCATCAACGAACGTTTAGGGCCTGGGGCTTACAGGTGCAGGGGTACCCTAAGTTGTCGCTGGACAAGCAAACCCCAGACTTGAAGGACTGACAGCTCCACGCTGCTAAGCTGCTAACATGGAAGCCGAGACCTCGTCTCCTTTAGACAATGTCTTTTGCCCTGATCTCATGATTTGACTTCGAACGCACTCTCTCAACACCCACATGTTCGGATGTCAAACACGACACTAGGGAATCGTGTGGCTTTCCTCTCACGACCACTCTGACAATAAAACTTCACGGAGGAAGCTGACCATTGCTTTGATTGCATTGCCGTCCCCGGCTACTGCGAAGCTCGGGAAGGGACCCGCCAAAGTCAGATTGCAAGCTGTCAGTGGTGCAAAGGAACATCGTGTTGCAGCGGTGCCAACACATGCACGAAGCGGGACATGGCATTGAATCCTGAGAGTAATCCCTTCACAAGGCAGACTCACCAATCATGATCTGACATGTCCAGGCCTGGCCCTTTGCAAGGCTCGTGAAGGCAGAGCCGAAAGCAGAGGCTTCCGCGCCCTGCATGTCGGAATTCGAGGTTCTTCTACGACTTTGCGAAGAAGCCACAAGCTTACAAGGTCTGAGGCCCTGCCTCCAGGTCGGCGAGGATGCTCTCCAAGCTAAGCTTTGGCGCTGCCCTGGCATGTGCTCTAAAGCTCGGCTTCTTGTACCGGACGTGTCCTCCGGCCTGGCTGGTGCCGGTGCCGGCGCAGGTTTTGGGGAGGCGACCGGTGCCACCGATGCCGGTGCCGGTGCAGGCTTGGGAGCCTTCGGCTCCAGCGCCTGGACGGAGTTGCTGTGCAGGGCTCTGCAGGGCTCAGCCACTCGACTTCGACTGTCGCTCCCCCATGGCACCGGGGCTGGCGGCGGCGGTACGAAGAATTCGTCCTGGAGCGAAGCAGATGGTCGCGCGACAGCACAGCCAGCTCAAAACATCTTTTTGTCGCACCTCCTCTTCGGGCAACGCACCACCGGAGGTAGAGCCTGTCTCCGTCTCTGCCACATATCGCTGGAATTGAAGGCACTACCTTCTCCAAATTGAGCTCTCGAGCTGTGCGCGCCTTTCTTCGCTTGCTTCTTCGATTGGTCCTGGCGGCGGACAGACTCCAAGTCACATGGGTTCGAGAACGACTGCACAGCCTTTCCCTGCTTGTACTGACTTTCAGAGAGTGAAACCACCACGAAGATGTTGCTTCATTGTTCGTAGGGCCAACAAACGAGCGGGACTTGGGGCCCGTACGACCAACCGCGGATTCGGGTGCCAGCGTGAATGCAAACATGGCAGACCGACAATCTCCACTCGCTGCTCCTCTGCATCCTGACACGCCCGTGAACTTGCCCGCACGTGAGTGATGCAACGCTCTTCTGCGACAAAACCGCATCGTGGGTCCTGAGAAAATCTACAGCCAAACCCCCTAAGCATGGATTCCGTTTTCGACGACCGACCCGCCCATCTCATCGAAACTGCTTAACATGGCAGATGTGATGCCTCACTGGCTCCGTAGCCACATCCGCATTCTTTGGCCAAGTCCTGACTCATGCAAATTACTTCCTTTGCTTTTATGCTTTATCCAGTGATGCGGAGAAGAACCGTAGTCCTGTCCCATCTTGCCCGGTGACTACACAGTGGCAAGCAAATCTTGAGCCTGCCCTAAAAGCTAGAAGCGGCGATGCAGCTCTGTCTGCACATTCCAGGCATAACAGTCTCTTCAAGCTACCAGCAGAACTCGTGTACCGATTTGTCTTGAACAAAGATGTCATGGCTCTGCAAATTCTGCGTGCCGAGCCCACTAGGAATGTTGGCGATCTGAGGACCATGACCTCGCACAGTCTCTGCCCTCTTTTGCGATATGTCATGTTGAAGCAGCTTGTGCAGAGGATGCATGGGATATCTGAAGATCCGAAGAAGCCCGGCAATTACAAGCAAAGCCCTGCAGCCCTGCACCCGGCCTGAGAAATGAGGTCATGCAGCGAAGCTTCGGAAAGGGAACTATGCCACTTGACAACGCCGTCCTGTTGTGGACCTAACGGGCCTGCATAACGACAGGGCAGGGTCTGGGAGGGTCTTTCAAAGCCTTCAATGCTTGAAGCTCAGCTTTGCGACGTGATTTTGGGGGTTTCAACGTAAGCAAGGCTGCAGGGTTGATAGCAATGTGACCATTGAGCCAGACTTCACACACAAATAGATATGTACAGATATATATATATATATATGTAGATGTATTCACTTCTTTATGTTTGAAACAGTATGTTATATACTACATACTTTACATACTAAAAACCTACCAACGTATACTATGTGCTATGTACGATGCTCTATGTACTGTATACTATATGATATATGACATTATAATATGTTCTTGTTACTCTTTATTATATGCCATATACTAGATACATAGACGCACACTTTCACAAGTTTCAACACAACATGTCCTAAACCCTGAGGCCCTACGAAACAGTTGAGTATCTTACTGTGGGATGACGGGGGCACACTCGCCACACAGGAAGAAGAATACTCCAAGGGCCACAACAGCAAGCTTACAACACTGCTGCTTCTCTCGCTCTTCCTCGCGAAGCGCCGACGTCCTTCTGCGTGAGTTGATTCGCGGCTGGACGATTTGACTCGGAGCAGTCTGGAACTCAGGACTTGTCACATTGTCAGCTTCGATCGCAAAAACATGGCGGCTTTCGTCTTCCGCACAAACACACCGTAACATGCACGACAAACACTTGGGTGAGACATGTGGCACGGGTACGAGTTAAAGCTGCCCTATAGACAACCTTCCTTGACCAAAGAGATTTTTCTTCGTAAAAGTACTTTCGGGGCTATCTGATACATTCATCTGGAGCACGACCTCAGAACTATGCACATCATGGCCAGAACCATGCACAGCCTACTACTACCCTTGGGTGTAGGAGGCTACCTGGTTGTGCCTTCTTAGTAGTATTGACAAGTTTCAGCACGTTGCAAACGCTGGCCGTCATGCGACAGCAGCCGTATGCCTCTTGTCAAAAAGCTCCTCCCAGCGACTTGCTGGACCCGGAGGCAGTGCAACATAGCCACAACGTGCGACATCTTGCTGTGGTTTGATCCCGCGTCCTGCAATCTCGCCCATTTCTGCTGCCGGGCAGCCTCGCGCCTCAGAGGTGAGAGGCTCTGACCGGATTCTTGACCGATGCAAAGGTCTTGGCTCACGGCTGCTCCTCCTCATCATAGGCTTCTTTGTGATTCGCAGAACCTCGGTCAACAGCCACGAGCCTTGTATTGCAGAACCTACTAAATACTGAATAGCTGCGCTCGTCTCGGAGGCAATGTCCAGGGTTCACATGCCCGTGTCGAGCCCTTGCATAGCTGTGCTCCCGGCACTCGTCAAAGAGCTGAGGATCAGCTTCCATTAACCTCATGATGACAGGGATTTTAGCATGTTGAAGACTCTTCTGTCCATTCCTGCTATCGCTTCTGAGGCTGGCTAACGAAAGAATCTAAGAGCCCAGCAGTTTAAGGACATTGAACGTGAGGCCATGGACCGCACCTGGTAAAAAGGGAATACAACATGGTCGCACACAACCATTTGACCACCGTGTTTCGCAAAAGATATGCAATGTAAACTCATACAGCTATACACATCCACATATGCATATATACGTATGCGGGCATTCATACGTTTCTACATGAATGTCAACACATAGCTGCCTGTGTAGATGTGCAGTCAATGTTACGGGTGTTTTGAAGAAGGCGTGCCCCCTGGCTGCATGTACGCTGGCATCTTACCAAAACTGTCTTTGAAAATATGGCTTCCGGATCAGCAACGGCGGGCTTCGGGCAAGAAATCACGGCCCAGGCGCTATTCCAATGCTGCTTTGAATTCATGTAGAGCGCCCCAATGACCACCGGAAAGAGCACCTTGGCGCGTCGACTATGTCGACATGCTGAAAACCTAAATCGCTCAGAACCTCTTCAGCTAGAGATATTCTTGGCACCTTCCGACTGGACGTGATCAGCCGGACGATGTAATCGTTGTTCCACAAGAAGAGTGTTCGCTCGGCCACCTCCGAGGGAATACCACTCGGCACTTAGGGGTGCAAGGCGAGTGCCATCCTGGGATCCGCTGCTAAAGGATTGTTTCTAAGTTTGGCTAACGATTGCTTCCAGACTTGCTGTGCAATGGCGTTGCCTGCAATAAGACCCTGGCAGCTTTGTGATGGGGCATGATGTGAGTGCTTGTCTTGATCCGCTCTCACAAGCGTGTCTCGAACCATGATGCTGAGTCGCGTGCCTGAAAATGAGGACAAGTGATGCACGAGGCGAGTCTCTGAAATAGCTGGTCCTCGCGACTGCGACTGTCGGCTGCAACCAGCACACATCGATGACATGAGACAGTGAGACCTATAAGTCCGAGGACAGTGCCTGCAGTCGAATGAACTCAGGCGGCTTGGTCAACTCCAACAGCTCCTCCAACTCGTTCAGGAAGAGCACCTCTGACACAACTCCAGTTCACCCAACGGACGCTAATACTGGTGGAGTGCATGTCTGCTCTACCTGCTTGGAGGTGATGGTTGCTGGCCAATATCTCAGCATCGAGGTGATGATGACATAGGCAAGTCGAGGATCTTTCTCAACATACTGCCTCAAGCTGGTCAAGCCGAGAGGCTCTTGCTTGGTTCTCCGCACACACACACACACACTGCTAAGGCAGAGGCGACATGCAGTAAGAGAGTTGCTGATGAAAGCTCGCGAGGAACTTCATCTTGTGAAGCGGGATCAATGCCTAATAGCCGCTGGTTGGACGGTGTGCAACCAAGCACTTTACTGTTTGCCACTCACAAATATCTCCCACAGCTGCCGTGGCTTCAAATCCAAGCAGCACGCACCAAGAAGTCCTCCACAGCCGGGGCATCAAGCGACAAACGTTGCTTCAAAACGCCTTGCGAATGCTGTTGTGTGTTCCGGCCACACTGCTACAGCCGCCAAGGTGCGACCTCAGGACCTCAAAGGACGCAAAAAAAACACAGCAAGAGATCAACTACTAAGGTTCAAATGGCATCGGCCAAACTCTCTGCAGCTGCAGGTTTCTTTCAGGTCCGAAACCTGGGAGAGCTCGAAACTTCAAACTCCACATGCACGCGTCCCACCCCAGTCAAACTCACAGTGCCAGGACCTCAACTTGCAAGACTCCTGATGGAGAAGACTCTTCTAGCGAACGACTCTGGGTTGTAGCTGACAACCACGGTAGATCTCAGGCATGTCATTTTCTGACCACTGTATTAAAATTCAAAACAGTTGGACATCCGACCTGCATACTAAACCCCAAGACTGCTACTGAAATCCTGAACACATACTTCAGAATTTGTTGCAGAGCACGAGATCAGTATGTGCAGCAATCATCACAATTCGTTCGTGTCTTTTGCTGGTGGCCAGAACGAGCTGCAGCTCCTTGTGCTCCTCTTTCAGCGGCAGCGCGAACCCGTTGATGATGCTCCCCAGTATTTCGAGGAGCTCGCCTAGTGGCATGATAGAGCAACGTCGTGTAACATCATAGTTTCTCTTCAGGTCCTGGAACTGTTCAGCAACTACAGTAGTTGCTGAAGATCAAAATGCAGAATTGCATAATCTGTCTTCCAGTTTCCTGCCTCACCTAAATTTAGCAGGCGGCCTGGGTGTCAAACGCACTGATGTGACACACAGGACGGGAACGTACGTTATCATCTCCGATTTCCGAACCACTGAAAGGACCCTTCCAGAGGCAAGCACCGACGCCGTTGTGCATCTCACACTCGTACATCACCTCAGGCATCAAAGGACACCTTCACCGAGCCTGCATCCCATGAGTCCGGGCCTTGAAAAACGCATTCTGAATGGCGCGGCGGATGAAGGCGCGCAAAGCCATGAATTTTCCATAGATCCGATGCGTGATCGTCTTTACGTAGTCCTGCAATCTCGTGGTTCGCCATTCTCTTGAAAGAAAGCTCCAATGCAGGGCTGCACAACCCTTCCACTTCTGCGAGGATGGTACACATGTCATGTACTCGAAGGCGGTCTGCGGAAAAACAAACCTCAAGTCTCTGCCCGGTCCCGTTCTCGCGGGTCGTCAGAGTCAAACAACTCCAGCCTCCAGCACAGCACAGCCAGGGGACTGGCACAGAAGGTTCAAAGAAGAGCAACAGGCCCTTGAGAAGCTGAGCGTCACGCATCTGCGAAACAAAATTGGTGTCTAGGGAAAGCTTCGCCACCTGTACATCTGCCGCGAATGCTTCCGGAACCTCCCCTGTGCATTGCACTATGGGTCCCGGTTCAATCGCCTTCGGGTCGACTTCGTTGGAGACGACCTTCGTCCATGCGAGCTATGGCATGTGAGCTTGTACAACCTGGTCTTCGCAAACCCACTGACGGGGGACTGCCCCTGCCCCTCGGCTGCCCCCAGCGGGCTGAGCTCTGCACAAAGCGAAGGAAGAACTCGTAGACAATCTGTAGGTGGGGCCAGGCTTTTTCAAGAACTGGCTCCTGAGCGAGACTATCGCGCACGAAATCCGCTCTCCATAGCACAAACGGAGGCGCCGCCTCCTCATCAGGATCCGACAAAGACATCGAAGAGCGGTCCTGGCATGT